ATTCTTCGTCTTCGGTCGATTCATCTTGTAGTAATTGTTCATCGATTGTTGAATCATTTTCTGTGGAATATGACGTTTGTGATCCAACGGATTCAGCTTCCACTTCTTGAAAAATAAAATGATAAAGTGGAAAAACGAGTTGCAGGAAATTTTTTAACTCTACTAACCCATTTCTGTCGTTTCGTTGTTTTGCTTCTTTTTTGATGGACGATATTTGAGCGTTTGTCGATAAATATTTCGATATAAATGTGTATGGCAACGAAGTTGGATCAATTTCGGACTATAAAAAAATATATAATAAGTGTAGGAGTTGATAATAGTTAAGAAGGGCAAAGTAATGTGTGCGGCAAGTAGTAATTCTTTTAAGGTGCCCGCAATTCAAAAGTCGAGCAGGGTTTTATTTCCGAATTTTTCAACATACGTAGATAGTGCGCATCGAGTTACATAGAAAACGTGAATTTCCTAATTTTAGAACACATTTTTCGATTAGAAAAATTTCAAATACTGATTTTTCAAAAATGGGTGAAATTAAGCAAAATTTTCAATAAAACTTCTAATTCAGCCTTTTACTCTTGAAAAATCAGTATTTGAAATTTTTCTAATCGAAAAATGTGTTCTAAAATTAGGAAATTGACGTTTTCTATGTAACTCGATGCGCACTATCTACGTATGTTGAAAAATTCGGAAATAAAACCCTGCTCGACTTTTGAATTGCGGGCACCTTACCATTCTTTTTGGAATGCATTTTTGAATGCCGTTTCATTATCACTAATCATTACACATTTATTTTCCATTTCCGAACATAAATCTTTTATTGTACGAACTAAAAGTGAAACATATTAAGCACATTCAATAGAGAAGTTACATAATATTATGAATTTCATTTTTTATTTACCCAAACAAGTGTGCGCCCATTCTTGTTTTGTCTCATGTATCATATACGCAAGCACAATTGCTGGCTGAGACTCAAATGCCTACAATATAAAAATATCTCTGCGTGAAGAAGACCATCTACACTCCCGTAGTAAAGTCTAAGTGGAAAGCAATTGAAAGCATCTACGAAAAAGTGGAAAGCAGAGTGAGCGCAAGCGGATCTCAAGTATGCTTTTCATTTTACTCATGCAACTCCACCAAAAGAAGAGAACGGGAATAAAGAGGCAGGAACATGTGAAGTAAAGTAATTAATACTTACATCGTGGCGGTAAATTAATGAACTAACATAGCCATCGGTTAGATTGAATGTTGTATCATAACTAATGACGATTTTTGAGGTCGTCATGGATAATAATGCCTACAAAAAAACATAATTAGCACATCTTGGAAGTCATAAAGAATATATAAAGACATCCAGCCGAGAATCGCAAAATCTCATGATTGATTTATTGACTAAACTTACATTGAACAAGTCGATAATTTGTTTATGTGCACATATAATAACCAATTGTGGTAAAACCAAAAAATAACGCACAAACTCCAAATGGTGCAGTCCAATTGAATACAATGCAAACCTAAAACATACAAAAGTTACAGAACATATTCGGTACACTTATTAACAGCTGCGGAAGAATATAAAAACTCACATATCATCCTGTGTCAATTTCAGTTGATTCAAGTGTTTTTGTCGCCGATATTGAATTTGTTTTCGATTTTTGATTGTTGAAACACCTTCTGGAGTGCATACTAAATCACGATAGACAAGTGAACTTGTTTGATGTTGTACACGATTATCTATTTCACGAATCATTGCTGTTGATGTTTTTGTCGATTGTAGTC